GCTTAGTTAATCTTGGCACTTCGCCTTTGCATTTGCTTCTTAGTTTCCAGATGGGAAGAAACATGATAATAAAGAGGACTGTGCTTCATTGTTAAGTAGTAATTTAGAGTTTAGAGTCCCTTTGACAGCCACTGTCATTATATTTAAATCTGTGGTATGCTTGAATTGATTTTTTTAGTGTGAAACTTACCAGTAAGGCCAGAACTCCTTCAAAATGCAAATTGCTGTGTTCTGTTCCAATCTGTAGGTGCGGTATCGAGCCATAGAAGATTACAGTGGTGTCTGCTGCCCTGTGACTAAAGGTGTTAAAACATTCTTCACAACACCCTGCACTGAAGAACCTAGAATTGCACTGAGTAAAGGAGATCTGATTTTAGCCACCAGAGGCTTAAAGTTAGTGACTCTACAACTTTATATTTTGTTAAAAGAAGTATTGAGTTGAGTTCTGGCATCTAATTAATTACCTATTATGCTTCCTTCCCCAGACACTGGATGTATGGTGAGAAGATTCTCATCTCAGCTGCTGATGGTATGGAGCAGTTAATTTCACTTTTTCTGTTGAAAATTGCAAATCAATTTTATAGCTATCTAGAAATGTGGCCAATATTATATGTTCACTTCTCAAAATGTAGAATGATAACATTACTGGCACTAGCTTCTCTCTACTCTCTACAGACTTCCCAGTTTTGATAAACATTAATTCACTCTGTCAGACTGACACTGATATAGTAGTTTATTGAAAGTTGAGTGGTAAGGGGGACACTTCATATCCTATGGAAAAGTTAGACTTTTAGACCATAAAGAGGTTGAAGGATTATTCATTTTTTGATATTTAAATGGTGGTCTGTCTTAAACACATCCAGGCTTCCTACCTGCACACTCTATGTAAGTATAGAGATTTAATCTTTGTGAGTCTTAAAAACTAGGAGACATGTCTTTGGAATAATTTCTAGAGACTTTAATATGCATTTATAAAACTAACTGGGAGTGTTGAAGATATTAAAGACTCCTGCTGATCTGCAGAGGGTCAGCATCACAACCACCTGCGCTGAAGCTTTTACATTTTTCACTTCAGACCTCTTGCTTTGGACTGAACTAAAATTTTACCTGCCAGAGGGTGTGTTGGAGTCTGTTGTTTCTTCCAAACAATTGTTAATTCATTGCACCTGCATTTCATATCCGCACAAGTGAGGCTGCCAGCAGTCACTACACTGAAAGGATCTGTGCTTTTCATGGGAGGTCTGAAACCTTCATGGGCTGGAAGTGCCCTGGCAGCTCACTCCAATAAACTCCTTCAAACATCAGATACAAATGAACACGGCAATAGTTTGTATTACATTGCTTATTGTGAAGATTAGTAGGACATATCTCCTCTGTTGAATGCTGGGTTTTTTAAATCAGCTAAAACCTGTTATGAATGGAGAACTTGATGAACCCTGAGAGGCTGGATCAGACTAGGCTTCAAAAGAGGATGAGTTTTGTTAGGAATGTATAGCAAAATACTGTAAATAAGCAGGAATAAAAGTTGCACTACAGCAAGATGGCAAATGAAAGATTAAGTAGCAGTTCTTCTGTGGAAAAAAGACAGAATGATAATCTTAAGATGAGTCAAGACTTTCAGAAAAGAAAAGGCATACAGCTTCCCAGATGCTGAAGTAAACCTTCCATCCTCCTGAGTGTTGGCAGAGCCTCTGCTGCAATACTCCTACAAATAAAAGCAGTTACTGCATCTCAGGAAAGAGGAAGATCAACTGTAAAGGGCTGAGAGGAAAACAGAGAAAAATGAGAATTATTAGGATAATAGAAAATGTGACTTACAAAGAAAAGCGAGAAGAATTGGGATAGTTTACCTGGAGAGGAGTAGAAAATGGGAGGCAGCCTGGGTATGAACACATAGTCATCAGCTGTGTGAAAGTCTATGGTAGAGAAGTTTGTTTTCTGCTTCCTGTGCCCTTGCTGTGTAGAAAAAGGAGCTATAAACCTGATTTATAGACAGAAAGATTTAGTTAGGGTATGAAGATGAATTTTCTCAAGGAAGGTAGAGCACTGCAAAACTTTGGAGATGTCTGAAAACATTTTAGGTAGTTGGAGAAAATCCGTGCATCTCCAGGCAATGATGTTAGAAATGACTTAGGTGTTCTGTCTTGTAGAAGAAAATAACTTGGGTAAGTGCTTGATGTCTCTTCCAGTCCTGTGTTTTTCCTCAGTTGTGGGCCATGTTTTGTTCTAAGTTAATGCAACTTTTCGTGTCTTAAGGTGGAATAAGAGAACGAGGCTGGTTCCCTAGGAATTGTGTGGAAAAGTACCAGTATGACTCTGAAACGGATCAACCAGTGGATGGAGAGAAGAAAAGCAAATAGCCTTCTAATTTTTTTAAATATGAAATGGAATTTTTACTTCAGACCACAATCCTTTACTTGAAATTTTCTGTATATTACTTTAGACTTATGCAATGAATATGTTAGGATGAGGTTTTCTTTTCCTCACTGCTGAAAGGGTTGTATATGCCTGTGCCATGGTTTGCATACTTTTTAAACAATAAATAATTGAAGAAGCCATTCAGTGGATTGCCTTCAAGATGCATCTTTTTCATCACAAGTCAGGATTGTTTTTTTCTGTTTATTCCTCAGCCGCATCTGATTGCTATGCGTGCTGCTTATCTTTTGTATTTCTCTGAAGCTGCCCCTGAAAATAAACACCTGATTCAAGTTCCAGATAAAATTTGTTACCGGTGACTTTTAATTATGTGAATTGTCCACCTCAAATAAATGATACATTCATATTCACTTGTGGGTTCAATTGTTCTTAGACCTAGAAGAACTTAGTCCATAGGCATGGGAGTGTATACTGACTGGGAAGTAAACATTTAACCTTGGAAGTTGCTTTTCAAAGTTAAAAAGGCTTCAGTCATTGCAATAGGAATATTTTGTGCTTTTAATGGCAAAAATTACATCCACCACTGTCTGTTCCCTCTCAACTCTGAGCCAGTACCCAAGAGATCTTGATCTATTTTAGAGTAAAAGGAAGCTGTATCCAAGAACAAAAATTTGCTAGTAATGGTTAACAGCCTTCTCAAAGCATTTTCATTTAGCATCTAGTATGGATTATTAGAAGGAAGACCTTAAATTAGGGTAACTTATACCAGCTCAAGGCTTTTTAAATGTCTCCAAAATACAGCAGGTGCTTTTGTTCTCTCATAGGGTAGAGTTACATGTCAGCCAGGTTGAAAGGTTTTGAAAATCAGTTCATGTGGCCTAAGTGGCATACAAGAGACCAGTATAAGACTAGTTTACACTTGAATTTCCATATATGTTTTATTGTTGAGGCAGTGCCATTCGCCATCCAAGCATATCTGTTCAGGGAAGCATCACTTCATTGTATCAACAGGAGTACTTCCCTGGCACTGCAGCAGGTGGCATCACAGGATTCAGCCTCGATTTCCACAGGTCTCAGTTGCACTGGATTTACTCTCGCCAAATAACTTGCTCATTTTTGTGTCCACAACCAGTTCTGGGATACATTTCTTCTTCCCCATTTCTTTTTTTTTTATTTTCCTCCCCAGTCTCCCCTGGGGAGAAAGATTAGGCCACCACTGATTTCATGTCACATTACTTTAAGGAAAGGATAAGAAAGATAAGCAGCATCGTTACATGCAGTTTCAAAGATGCCTTTATAGCCTCACATTTCTGACAAGCACAGTAAGTGACACAATGGTTACCCTAAGATGTCAAGGTCTTTGGGCCCAGACTAGAATCAGAACTAGGTCAGTTGTTTTTACTAGTCAAAGCTAGAGCTGCCTAACAGCAAGTGGGGATCTTTTGATAAATCTTACTTTCATTTTGGGATAGCTGAGCAAGAGCATTAAAGAGGGAGAGGAAAAGCCACTAGCTGTCTGAACAAGACAAGGAAGACAATTTTTGTCTGCAGTCAAATTGGCCTAGGAAAACTACAGATAGGCCTTCCCCATGTTGCATCCTTGTTAGCACTGCCTTTTGAACTACTAGAGCTGACTACTGCAGGGACAGGGAGGAGCTCTCAGCAGAGACAGCACAGACTGATGGAAGACGTAAGACAGTTTTCATCTTGCTTAAATCATTTTCTGAAGCAGCAGCTTAACACAAGAAAATCTCACATCTTATTTCATGTGGTAAATTCATTCTTTCACCTCAGCCTAAGCTGAGGACAAGGGAAAGAAAATTGTTAGAAGAGCAACTAGACTACAGGAGCAAACCTGGACTACACTACATTATTGCCTCATGTCTGGAGCTGTGGCTGACCAGTGGCAGCAAAGGGAACAAGTTCACGTTCTGCAGCAGTTGTGTTTTAGCTGCAGCCATACAGAGCCAGGCAGCTGACAATGTGGTTGCAGCAGAGCCACAAGTAGTTCACACAGGCTTTAATTTGATTGTGCAGTCTCAATTTATTGCATCCTATAACCTTAGGATTGACAGCTAAAGTTTTACACTTATTAGGCTCAAATTAGTAAGTGTATAGGCTTTAACACTGCCATTTCATTTGAAAATGTGCAAAAACTAATCCAGTGCCTCTTAAACAATGAACATTTGCTGTAGACAAATGTATTTTGCAAATGATTACTCATTTTCATTATTAACAACTTGTACCATATGGTCCAGGACTAGGAACAGGAAATTCACTTCTGTATTTGCTAAACAGATGTTAGCATGAATTCATACTGTGTTCAGTCTGATTGCAGATCAGTCCACAACGGGTCACAGTGGAGTTTGTAGTTTCAGCAGGAAAACCAGATTTGCTTTTGACAATGAGAGGTGCAAACAGCTGTCTTTTAAAGGCTGAGGTTCTTGCATGTTACTGCATTTCAGGCACAGTCCAAGAAAGATGAAAGTTCTGGCTTAGGCTAGGCAGTTGATGCTCAGTCCCACAGGATGTTAACACTGCTAGTTGTCAGTTATACTACAGCCATCTTCATCCACAAGTCATTTTTCAAACTTAAATTTATTTAAGTTCCTGTTCCCCTCCACTCAAGCCTGTCTTCACCATAGGCCATGTAGTGTCACTGATTTAACTACTCCATGCAGTTTGAGTTAAACTGGTTATTTACTCCTGAGTAGATGAATAGAGGGCCTCAATCTCCTTCTGGAAGAATTTAACAACATCTCCTCGCTTTGCCTTCAGTGTTGGCGTCAAGAGTCCATTTTCTACAGAAAACAACTCTGTGTGGATGTACAGGTCTTTAACCTATTAAAAGAAAACCATTTAGTGCATGACACATTAGAAGACAAACAACAGTTCTTCCCAGCTTCCTTGGGCAGGAATTCAGTCCCAGGAGATCCAGTAACTGAACTGGTTTTTTCGCTGACACAGCGAGAGGGTGGAATTCCAGAACAGCCCCTACAGCCTGTTGGGAGCCTCCACTCCATCTCTTGGCAATTACTACAGTTGCCCTTCACAGCTCCTGGTCTCCTGGTAAAGGGACAGGCAGCCAACGTTTCACTGACTGCGTCAATCAGGTGTCTGGGGCAGCTGCCTCAGGGCCCCTCCTGGAACAGGCAGTAGCAGGAATGGAGACTTCCTAGCCACTGTGTTAGCAATACAGGTGCTAGTGACAAGCAGGATTTGAAAATACTCACTTGTTCAAAGGATTTAAGGCCAGCCTCTCTCCCCAGTTGGATCATATCATCTAAAATAGCTTTCTTCACTGCCTAGAAGAAACACAGCAGAAGCAGAGTGGGCAAAGCTGTCATTCTGTAATTGCAGCTCAAAACCATAACCATTTGCCCAGTCAGGGACAACTGAGGATGGCAAGAATATGTATTTCAACATTAAAGATTTCTCATATTAAGGCCACTACAGAGTCATGTCTCTCTTCTCACTGGAAAAGGAGCAGTGATAGCCCTTGAAACAAGAGACACCTATACTCAGTTCCAGTTTTTGCTGTAAGGGTGCTTGCATGACTCACCCAGCATTAAACCAGTTCAAATTACTGAAAAGAGGTAGATAGAACAAATTCAGAGCAATGTAGGATTGGACTTAGAATTAAATGCTGTCTCTAACCCACTAAACACAATGCCACTCACAGGGTTTTTGCAGAGCTCTTCAAAGGAACCTTTGACTCCCAGTTTTGCTGCAAATTCTGGAAGCATCTCAGCATCAGGAACCACTATACCTATTAGAAAAGACTGAAAACAAGTGGAAATTGTCAGGCTGAGACCAAGCTAAAGCTAAGGAATACTAAATGTCTTTGTGAGCTTGATTGCAGGCAGTATTTCTATGACAAGTCAAATTTACATTTCCATTCATTTTCAGAGTTTCAAAGGTAGCTATGACGATTTCCAAGTCACTGAGAGTTGTGACAGCAGTAATTGAAGTACTGACACCATTTGTTATGTGTGCTGAATGGTCCAGCAATTACTTTTAGCTGTTTACAGACTGAATACTGGCTTCTGCTAGCATAGGTAACACCTCTGGCAAAGGAATGGAGAAACACTTCTGCTGTGCAGAAAGTCTGAGAGAAGTGGGGTTGTTCAGCCTGAAGAAGAGAAGGCTCCAGGAAGACTTTTCTGTGGCTTTTCAAAACTAAAGGGAGCTTGCAAGAAGTATGAGGACAAATTTTTAGTAGGGCTTGTTGCAATAAGACAAGAGGTAATGGTTTAAAACTATAAGATAATAAATTTATATTAAATACAAGCAATTTCTTTTAAGTGTGAGGGTGGTGAAACAATGGCAGAGGTTGCCCAGAGAGGTGGCAAATGCCCCTTCCCTAGAAACATTCAAGGTCAGGCTGAATGGGGTTCTGAACAATCTAATCTAGTTGAAGGTGTCCCTGCTTATTGCAGGGGGGACTGTTCTGTGAATCTAAACTGCACAGAAGTGACCTGACATACAAATCCCACACAAGTATGTAATTAACCTTTACCCAGCTTGCAGCAATGCCAGTTTTCACTTGGCAAGTCTGTAGGTCTGAGAACATCTTCCTATAAACTCAGCTCTCTTTGGAACAGATTTTGTTCAAAGACTCTTGTGCATGCATACATTTGTGCCCTGATCATCCAGAACTTGTAGTGGAAGGAAATCTTGCAGGATACTCCTAACATCACTTACCCTCAGACTTTCCCCATGTACAAAGACCTGGGCTACAGGAGCACTTCTGATATAGACATTTTCTATCTTCTCTGGAGCAATGTATTCTCCTTGTGCAAGTTTAAATATATTCTTCTTCCTGTCAATGATCTTCAGCGTTCCATTCTAGAAGTTAAAAGTGGAGGTCATTAGTTCCAAGTCACTGTCTTATATAAGAGAAGATAAATAGGCTTTATTTAGTTGTATGAAAGGCACATCTGGAACTAGTCTAGAAACTACATACTGGTCTTTGCTTTCTACAGAGAGAAGGGTTTGTGTAATTTCTCCAGTTAGCTCAGGGCATGATTAGACATCACCTTTATTCTCCTCTGACAGAAACCAAGACACCTTGTTATATCACTTCTACAGTGAAGAATAGTCGTAACTATGGGCCTAGGAGGTGTTATTTGATACCCTGTAAGCTAATTTGTCTTTGGAGCTTTGACTGGAGTTACCTAGTGAATCTACTGTGTAGGACTTTTATCCTAGAATTCCATCTTTAGAGAATACTGTGAAGTAACAGGAATTAACATGCCAAGAGATGGTTTGTGTTAAGCAACTACTCACTGGCAACCACTTCCCTATGTCTCCAGTGTGGAGCCAGCCATCTTTATCAATTGCTTCTGCTGTCTTCTCAGGATCTTTCAGATAACCCTTGAACACATTTGGTCCTTTAATGCAGACCTATAGCAAGTAGAGAACACTGTTAGTCACCAAGTCTTATGTTTCAGTATTTCTTGACATGCACAGGAGATGGTGCCTACCTCGCCTTCATTGTTAGAAGAGAAGTAGCTCATTTCTTCCACATCATCTAGTTTTATGATATTACAAGCCAGAGGAGCCCCAACATGGCCTAAGAGAAAAAAAACAAAAACAAAACAACAAAAAAGGCTGCAGTGATAGTAGATACTTACTGGGTTTGTTCACTGCTTTAACATGAACCAGTATTATTTAAAGGAGTATGGCATCAAATGTTCAAGCAAGTTGTTGCAATGCCATTTTCAGACAGTTAATGTAGGACAAATAGCAGCTAAGTCTTGATGCTTAGAGCACTATTGGTGTCATCTACCACACCAGCCATGAAGCACTGAACCACTCATGCCTCCTCAGGACCCCCTCTCATAGATCCTGGTATTCATTTGCATTTCATCCTCATTATGCTCTGCAATTACTGTGTTCACAAAGATGATGACTTGAGTCTGAATTTAGAATATCCAGTATTGCTAAAATAAAAGCTAAATCTTCAAGGTCCTTCAGGAAAATAGTCAAGTATCATGTCTAATATTTTTGAGTAAAACATATCATTTAGGAGACAAAGCTGGTTTCTTAAGGCCATTTGGGACGTCTCTATCCAGTTTGCTCAGCTCTCTCTATTCCTTTCCTATATTCTGGAACAAAGTCTAGACTGACCTGTGACACTACACTGGGGTTCCTCATCTGGTTGAGTCAAGAATTTTAGTACCTATTAAACAGACAGGTGACTGCTGCTACCAAGAATCACTTTGAGTACCTATGATTTAATTTTCATTAAACTAAAAGCATTAGAGCACCTAGGCTTGAGTGCCCCTTTATGTGGACAGCTCTGGGAGACTTCACAAGTCTCAGCTCCCATACCTGTTGTCCAGTCTCCAGGCATTGAGAAAGTGGATCCAGCTGAGCATTCAGTCTGGCCATAAGCTTCAAAGATCTGTGTGAGAAAGGATGAGTATTCCTTGAACATCAAGTCCTTGGTGTGAAAGGCCTCAGTTTTGACTGTGCCCATGCTCAAGTTTTCTTAGGAAGGAAGCCAAAACAACCTTTGCCTTTAAGATATCTTGATCTTATTGGTGTAACCAGATGTTAAGGTTCACCTATTCAAACTTTGCTTTGGTCACTTCATTTTCTGTTCTCAAATGTGCTACATTGGAAGCTCATTAACTGTCAGAATAAGCCACAAAACTCAGAGGCAGCTGCCTGACTATGAGTGCTGCATGTTCCTATTTCTGCTGCTCCATTCTTCTTCTCAAAGCCTACAGCTTAGTTTTTTGGTAGTGTAGTTTTAAGTGGGCCCTGCAGAATTTTTTTTCCTGTTACAGTTAACTCAGATGAAGCAGTCTGTAAATGCCTGAGACTTGACAGCATTGAGCTGGACCCCAGCTATATCACTGGTCACTCATTTGTGCATAGTCAAACAAGGCTTACTTTTAAAGAAAACTCAGCTTACCTGACAGCCTAATGCTGCTCTAAGAAATGTCAGGACAGAGGGAGATATAGGGGCTGCACCTGTCACCATGATACGCACTCTTCCACCCATGGTTTCCTACAAGTAAAAAGAAGTCATCAGCTCCTCCAATATTACCTTGCTTAGCTCCCTTACACTTGGAATAATTTACCTGAACTTTTTTGAAGATTAGCTTGTCCCAAATGCTGTCATTTCGAATGATGCCCTGTTTTATTTCAGCTGTCTTCATAAACACAGCAAATTTTAACAGGAAATTCTTTAGTGGGGTGTTTGCACCACTCTGGATCTGCAAGGAAAAGTAGTAGTGACTCTTGGGTTTAACTCACATCTGTACATCTCAGTCTTGCCTTATTAAGAGGCACCAAATCTTACTTCAGTGTTCTAGGGCCTGTCTTCACCACTGCAGTACCTAGGAGGTGACTCAAAAGGCAATACTAATTCATGTTACTGCTGAAACACTATAGCCATAGCTTTGAGGAACAGGGATCCTGTTAGCTGTGCACTTGATTCATTTGCATTACAAAAGTAAACAAAGTTTTTGTCTCTTAACAGCAACAAACATAGCCCAGTCATGACTGGATATGCTGTTCTTATACTCCCAGAACGCTTTCCATCTCCTCAGAAAGGATTCTAAAACATTCTTTTTGCTAAGGGGTAATTAGCTAGTGGTGATGTTATGACTTATTCAATACTATTTTGTATTTGTATGCTTGTTTGGATATATGAACACAAAGAACACAGCTAAAATTGCTCACATACCTTGTCATAGACTCTGTTGAGCAGTCTTGGTACAACTGGAAATAGCGTTGGCTTCAAGGTTTTCATGTCATCTGTTAGCAGCTTGATATCTCCTTGGAAGAAGCCAACTTTTGCTCCACAACTGTATACCACAGTCTAAAAATTGACCAGACTAACCTTAGTCAAGCAGAATTCCTAGCTTCACTAGCTATAATTATTAGTCTATGAAAAGCAGCATGATTTCCAGTGCCCAGTTATTAAAAAATAGGGAAAGTTATTGAGTGAATAGGTTTTGAGGACATACACATTGCTAATGTCTTTTACAATAATTTGGTTCATAAAAGCTCAGATACATATATCTGTACATACCTGCACAACTCTCTCAAACATGTGAGCCAGAGGAAGATAGGAAATGACAACATCTGAACTTGTACACTCAATTGTGTTCTAGAGGGAAAGGAAGTAGAAGTAGGTTAGCATTTTCTATGCCTACCTGAATTACTTTTACGTAGAAAGTAAATAAAATTGGGATCAGTATGAGTACTTTGAGACAGACACTTTCAATGACTGAAGCAACTCAGGCTCATCCATCACCTCTTCAAGATTTGCAGCTGTCACTCAGCCACACTAAATCAAAATTAGTTTAATGTTTTGGCAAATCTTGAAATAGATGGTTTAGTACTCTTGGTATTTAGGACTGACTCATTCTAGAATAACTTCTATGTACAAGTTCTTGTTCAATTCAGACCAAGTTTCTTGCAGTAGTGTTGTCTCATTGAAAAAGGGGCACTTAGGAAAGCATCAGTTTCTGGGAGTGAATGGTTTACAGAAAATGCCCACAATAAAGCTGGTTTCATGACTGAGGGACATATCCTGGAAAGCAGCTTACCTCTGTGCATCTAAGGAAGGCAGCAGCATTTGAAACAACATTCTGATGTGTCAGCATGGCTCCTTTAGGGTTACCTTTGGAGAGATCAAGCAAGGTGAGCTGTGGCTCTGACTGCTTCTGCTGGCAGTTCCCATGTCTAGTTTGGCTCAGCTTGAACTATCTCAGTACTAGGCTCAGTCCCAGCAATTATTCTCATGAGAGATCACAAATATGCCTCATCTTGAGTGCTTTCAGCTATGGATGTTACGTAAAGGAGATGGATAGTGAAACAGCAGAGCAATTGGGAGTAGCATAGAGAATGCTGAAACAAGATTTCTGCTTTAGCCCCTGAGGACCAAAATACACAGTTGAACAACCAATCTCTTGAACATTAAGGCTGCATTTTTCATAGGGTATGATAGCATGAATTTGGCTTTTCTTGCCCCCAGTTTTAAGAAGCTTTATCACAGTGCACTTCACTTGTAATAACAATATCCCAAGTAAAACTGCAAGAGCAGTTTGACATTGCTCTAATTTACTGGTTTACTTCCATGTTCATAGGATTTCTTTACTTTTGTGCAGGGAAGCTGCATGGGGAGGCTCTTTCAGTGGGGAAGCATCACTATAAATTCTTACCTGTGGTTCCACTTGTAAAACACACAACAGAAAGATCTTCGGGCCTAGGAGGCTAGAGAGAAAAAGCCACATAAAGTCAGCGTGAGGTTATGATGGTTATCTGTAACTACATACAATTCTTAACTGTCATGAATCAGGAATTCTGGGTCACAAAAAAATCTGCCAGCCTCCTCTACTAGCAGCATAGCCAGAGTTCTGTCCAGAGACTAGTTTTACAAGTCTTTAGGTGTTTCATAGAGATACTTACAACTGGTTCTCTGATGTTGTTTTTTCCCAGCTCCTGTGTTAGAAAAGAAACACAGTTTAAGAGATGTGCACAATAGGTGAATAGGTAATTGCATTTCAAATGCAACACTTGTTTTACTACTTTGCCTGTTGATACTCTGTCTCATTCAAACAGAAACCTCTTCCTGAATCCAATACACAGAACTCTGAAAAATGTCTGCTGCAAGTGTGGAAAGGACACATTTGAATGTGTGGAAAGTGATCAGAACTACTTTAGGAATGTGGAAGTCCTGAGTGGAGAGGTTTCCTTTTATTTTATGTAGGCCACATCTCTTTACATGTATGCAAGCTTAAGCCTGGTATTGGGATGTCTATGCAGCCAGTAATTTGCACTTACAGTTCCAATTAGATTCAACTGCCAGCTTAGAAGCCAAATAAATCCTGTTACAACAGGATCACAAATTAAGCTAAGCAAGTCTTGGCTGTTCACAGCACATGGGCACAACTTTAGTCAACTGTTTCAACTCTGCAACTCTGTTTAGCTAAAGATATCAAGTTTCAAAATGACTGCTCATTAAGATGTCAGGTACAGGCATGACAACTGGGTAATGCTTACATTAAAGTGTCATTGCTGCCACAGAAGATCAAGATGTTTAAGCTGGCAAAGTATTACAGAAGCCTTTATCCACCTACCTCAACCTCCTGCAGTGACAGAATTTCAATTCCCACTTTAGCTCCTCTGTCCTTGAGCTCTTTATCAAAGAGATCCATGAGAACAATAATCTTCAGACATGGGGTCTTTTTGTCCTCACAGTTCTTAAGCAAGACCTCTGCCTTTGCAGGCGTGTCACAGATCACCACGCTTATGTCAGCTACAGAAAAGAAATTATCAGAAGTCTGTTTAGAAGACATGAGGCCAGTGACAGCTCAGCAGCACATACTTTAAGAACATATCATTGGTTTGGTGCCATTTGCATTTGTTTATATGGATTCAGTGGCTGGCTTACAGTGCTGAGAAGGTTCCTCCTACCATACTCAACTGTTTGGGCAAACCTGATGTCCTGGCAGTATAAAGTGAGGGCAAATGCTGAAGAGCTGAAAAGAAATATCATTGCTCATAGTCAAGATGGGCATTGAAACTTTTGGTATTGCCATGATATTGTTTAGGTTTAGCCATCTTCCTTAAATCAAAAGAAATTTAAGCCCAATTGAAAGAGGTAGCTAAAAATAATGAGTTAATACTTCAGCTTCCCTGTAGATCCAGTTACAAAAGCCTTTTCCTTTAAGTCAGCAAAGGACCTGGATTTGCTTGAGCCTGCCAGTTCCCAGTTAGATTGGTAAATTACAGCTGTGTAATCAATCCCAAAACAACACTTGTTTCCAAGATTCACCACCATAACTCTTGAAGTGGTTTTGCTTGGCAAATCCTATTTTTGGGATGGATACCAGATCACTGTAACAACAGTGGATATTTATCCCCCCCATATCTCTCCTAAGACTGGGGGAAGAAAGTCTGAAGATTTATTTAACTTCCTTGCCTGTTTATTCCATGTTCGCCTGCTGGGTGTTGTTTCTGTAGAACAGGCAATAGCCAGATAGATTTAACAGATTTAGGCAAATCTTTACCCTTCCCTCCTCCACTCTTTTCATCCTACAGACATATACAGACAGACATATAAATCTAGTCTTAATTTACATGCAAGTCTGGCTGCATTCTCTGTTTGTTTGGCAGTGTGGGAGTTCAAGATTGCAAAATCTCAAATAGCAAATAGTTGAGCACTGATTGCAGAATGATCCACAGGACCTAGCAGATCCTTCAGTGGTCTTGCAATCAAGACACTAGGAGACATAGAAAGCCCCCTGGATTCTTGTTGGCATTGAACCATGTGCCCTGCAAAGCAGCTTCACTAAGTGTCTATAAGAGCAGTAAGGTTAAAGCTACTCTGATTTTTGCAAATTCCCTTGAACTTAGCCCTCCCAAAACAAAGTTTCCTAGAAAAATCCTTATGAAAGAGTGGAAGTCAATATTTACCTTTGTTAACAATATATACAATGGCCTCTGGTCCCAGAGTGTCGTAGAGTGGAACAGCAACCATTGAGTAGGTGTAGCAGGCATATTCTGAAATGATCCACTGAAAAGAGAAAACAGCACAACTAAGGAAAACTAGGAGCCTTCAAGACAGGATTGCCTACAGACTTCATACAGCTTGACAAGCCCATGCACTTGGTAGTGGGGGGTATGGAAGGAGCACACCCATGAGAATAAGAGTTGTGAGAGGTCATTGTATTACATGCTTGGAATGGTATGTGCTCAGTCAGTAAAAAGGGAATTGGAAAGGAAAAGTGATTGTTCCTGATGTGGCCTGAAGCTATTTAAACACAGACTCTCCTCTCGCCCCAAGGCGTCAAAATAGTGCAGGAAAGAATACACAATTTTTGCTTACCTCTGGCCTATTCTGAGCAAAAATGCCAATATACTGGCTTGATGATGGTTGGCATCCTTTTTGCAGGAGTCCCGATCCCAGGTATTTAGTTCTGTCTGAAACCTGCAAGATAGTTATTCCCCCACTTTAGTGTTACAAGGCAGAATCCCAAATTAATTCATCTGTCATGTACAATACTCACCTGTTTATATGTCAGCCACTGATAAGGTTGCTTGGGTTTCCTGTAGCCTAGACAGTCACCATTTCCTAATGAAAGAGTTCAGAAAAGCAATTTCAAAGCTCAGTACTGAAGTTGCATAACACTAAACACTTGAAGTGGGAAATGTTTTCTGTCAGGCATTCAGGGAACTGCATGGAGAGCAGGTCAGTGTCCATAGTTAAGCACTTTGCCCAAACCAAGGCTGTAAGACTGTTAGCTTTATCCTTACAAGCAATACTTCTAAGATCTGGTGATATTTGTTCGATTGCACAACCCATGTGAGGTTGAAATAGCTTGCAAACCATCACACATTTCCATGCATAGGACTTGTGAAGTGACATGCACAAATTCATATCTGTTGTAAACAGGCAGTAATTTCACAGGAAAACTCACATCATAAGACAAAGGAGAGGTGTTTCCCCCCCAGTTCCTCTGATGCTTCGTATCTGCTGACTCTTGACTGAACTCTACCATCTTCAGCTTCTGGTATTTGTTCCTGCCCAGTCTCCCAAATAAGACTAGTACTAAATTGGGACAGGGAGAAATATGGTCACTTGTCTCTCCACCCCACAGAAGGTTAGAAGAGCTATTGCTAGCCTGCATTATTACCACAGCCAAGACACAAGGAAAAGGATCTTGGAAAAATTTTGTTTATTTGTCATAGACAAGTACTAACTGCCAAATGCAAAGCTTACCAGAAATACTCACTCCTCTCTGGAAAACTTCATACAGGGTTTTAGCATCTTCAAAGTAATAAGAAAGCAGGTTATTATCTGTCAAGAGTGCAGCTCTTCTGGCTCCTCCCTAGGAACAGAGCATGGTTATGAAACAGTGCAGACCAGATAAAATATCATTTGTTCCTCAGCCATTCTCTCATCAATCCCATTTAAAGCATTTCAATAGCATTGTATTGTTAGGGAAATCTTTTCCCTTCCTGATTTTGATCTACTCAGTCACGTGCAGAGGGATTTTCTAGATGGCCCACCTTTATGTTGAGTTACAGGTTATTGAGAGGCCTTGACTGAGTGCTACCACTTCCCTTGTTACATGAAGTCTAGCACCAGTTTCAAAGCTGATGCAGTGCATTCAAAATACAAAAGGAAAGTCAGTGACAGCCAAAGCCATCTGGTAAAAATCCCACCTAACCCTGGTGGGAACAAGCGGCCGTTTCTCATCTTAGCATCTTAAGATCTCCCATCTCCCCATTGTGCTTTTGAGTTGTACACCTGGGAGAGAAGGCTGTGCACATTGGACAGGAGAGCTTCCACTGGCACCCAGAGTCAGAATGGATCAGTATTCAGATGAAGCTCCAAAACAGACCATGCCCACAAGCAGAGAAAGCATTACCTCAATTCCTATCGACTGCTTGTTCAAGTCAACAGGAGGTAAAAGGGGTTTTGGCCTGCTTATCACCCACAGAAAGATGACAGCTCCAAATGCAATGAGACTGATCAATGCTGGTGTTGGGAGCGGTGAGAACAACACTTGAAGTATCCAGATCATTGTACTGGATCAATGGAGCCAGAGCTGAACCTGAAACAAATAGGAGGTTTAGTAGACTTGAGTTAGAAGCTTTAATTACCTATGAGCCATGGTTACTTAAGTAGCTTGTTAAATAATACTGCAAATCATTTCAGCAGTTTGCCCCTGGAGAGTCCTGGTACAATAGTGAAGCACATTTATGCAATGCTTTAGGGCTCTTAAGAGATCTTAAGTCACCTGTCCCCATAAATCTTAATCTATGCTGCATCCACCTCCACAGAAAGCCAAAGCCTGATGAAGTCAGACAAGGAACAAATTCTTTCCATCCTTAAGTAAAAAAATCTGCCTGAAGAAAACCAGTATATAATTTCCCAAATATATCTCCCCAAGTATAACTAAAAAATGCCTATGGTTCAGTGATGTGAATTGTGGAAGTAAGAAAATTCCTCAATATTGTTAGTGTTCAATAGGAAATGGTTTTGCTGAAATAGGAAGATAAATTATATGTTTGGTACATCTACATATATGTCTGCAGGACAAACAGTATATTCACTGTCAGCTGCTTTTCCTGGTCATGCCAGACAAATATTTCAGAGAGTGACAGTGTGGTCAGCCAAAAAAAACACCAGCACAAATCAAAACTGTGAAAGCCACTGTCCACTAGGAAGTGGTCACCTGGAAGTCAATGTGTGCAATAGAAGTCAACTGGGAAATACAGAAACAATTCTGCTGCTTGCATTCCCCAGGGTATCTTCCATCAAGGACAGGGAAGCAAAATCTGAGAATGCAGACTTTCTTGTAAGACACAGAGACCTGAGCTTTTTTCCTTAGAAACAAGCATTTTATCTCCAAAATGTTCTGACGTGTTTTAAGATTGAATTGCCAAAAGGAAGGACTGCTTTCTGTCTGAATCAGCTCAGATCTCAGCAACTTGTATTTGCTAGTGTCTAAATATCTATGCAGGACACACCACCACACACTTTGCAAGATGAACAACACTCTTTCAAACTCCTTCATACAGAATCAAAGGAACCCCATCAGTAGATAATATGTCATCTATCAACTAAATCCCTGTACAAGAAGAATACCAGGAGTCCTGATGCAATGAGTTCCAGTTACCTTTTAACTATAATTCTAATGAAGTTGAAGGTATTTTACAAACCAAGAGTAAGTTCAGACAGGACCTGAAGTCAGAATTTGAGTGTCTGAGCCCAGACTGCTCATTTAGATTACCCATATCTATTTTACAGTTTTGTAGTTTCTAGTGGCAGGGTCAATCAGCAATCCTGGTGTGTTCTCTGGTAAAAAAGGCATGCTCTGCCTGCTCTGCATCTGAATAAGAAAGGGTATCTCAGAGGCTTTTCAGCTAGTCCAAGCTGCCAGATGCACATCACCTACATATCTGAGAAATACCAACTCCCTAGTCCTCTTTCCTACTCTAAACCTTAGTTGCCACATGCCCTTCAAACTCCTGACCTTGGCTTCAGAGTCCAAAAAGATTGTGCTACAGCCTGAAAGGCAGGAACTGCCCTTGGGACTCTCTACTGATAGGCAATTCCAGTCACTGGGCATATTGATCCTGTGGGAGCACAAACCTGTTTGTACACAGCATATCACTCATCTCCCTTTGGACCTTTATCAATTGAGCCTGGATTAAAAAAAAAAAAAAAAAAAAAAAAAGCAGAACCTAAATCCAGGCCTGCTGATCAAGTTTACATTCAGGACAAAGCTACTTAGCAGTTTAGGTTTAGCACTGCTTGGTTTGGAAAACTGAAGATTATTAATTAAGTGAATTTGGTAATCAGCTGTTCTTGGCACTATATATATCTGGACCATTAATGGAGCAGTTAGCAAGCAGCTTTCTGCAGTGATTAAACTGCATATGGTTTGTGGTTTATATTTCTTCTTTCACTACCATGAGCAAGACACTTTTTTACAGCATGAGCATTGAGCAGCTAGGTATAGGCATCTCCATTCTCCATCATGAAAGGTGGAATATACAAACTCTATTCCTTTAGCTCAGAGCCCACTACTAAATCCAAGTGACAGAGCAAATCACATTTGCACCATTTGTATGTTGGAAGCTTTCTAGACTGACAAAGGAGTTCACACTCACTGCATTTCACATGACTCTTCCCAGGTCATTTTTCAATCAGCAGTGAGAGAACAGAGCTATATGCAGGTAACCAGAGACACCACAGGCCTGTAGAGCTGCACCAGTTTTCTTGGCTGAAGTGTGCTCTCATCTGCTTATTTTAACAGTACTTTTAAGATGATTTTACAGAAACCACGAATGATAGGTTGTTTTTAAAGTATCATGCTAGAGGTAAGAAACAAAACTATCTTATTTATGGCACCAAGTCCTCTTCTTTAACTTATTTATATGGCTTACCATTAACACTGTCTGACTAGGTCAGACAGATCAGAGCAGTTGTCACAAATAGCTACTGTCTGTTACATGGACTTATTGGACAGAAAATTTACTGAAGACATTTGTCTGACCTTTTTGTGACAAGGATCAGAGAACCCAGTAACCCCAAATGCTCCATGCAGCAGTAGACAAGTCACTGAAAATTTTTCCATCAGGGTATTTCCCTATTCTCACTGACTAACATGCAAAGTACCTTGTACCAGGACATGTAAGAGGACTGAACATCAAACCCTGAAGGATATGATTTTTTTGCTTGCAGCAAAGAACTCAAAGTCCAGAGAGAACACTTAATCAAGAAATGATCATTTAATACAGCAAAACTTTTGCCTTCAGTTTCTGCCTTTCTGAAAAAGGCTTTCACAAGCCTTTTGCATAAAGAGTAAAGGAAAGATCAGGCAGTAGTTTAATCCCATTGCAGCCTACCCAGCATACCTGTAGGGAGTCAAGGATGATTTTCAATTATATTTGAATGAATTTTTCATTTAAAGAAAGACCTGTTGACAAATTTCTTTAAAGTCTGGGAAGTATTATATGCTCATTAACTTCTAGGGTTTGGTGGGTGTTTGCAGTAACTTTGAGTCTTCATTAGCCCTCTTACAGCCTTGACTGAAACTACATATGCAGGACTTTGCATATATACCCTTTAAAGATAGAGAGCTTAGTGTTGCATATAAAAAAGTACAGATGCACAAAAACACAGATCTAGGTAATACAAAACAATGTTTTTCATATCTGAAAAACTATTTTCAACACCTTTACTTTATTAATAGAAGAGTGACCATGTTTTCTTTTACTTTCCAACAATGTCAAAGCACATAGGGTGTGTTAATCTGTGGCAAGAGATTGTCAGCAAATTTGTCTCAATTCCCAGAATTAGGACAGTTGTTTCCTATGCCTAGAGCTTTTACTGTAACTATTTGTCAATCCAAGTAGCTGCTAATTTATCACCTCTGGCATCATCCAAATGCCATTTAATCCTGCTGCCATCAAAACAGAAAAGCCAGAGAGAGAGCAGGAATCTGTACTTGATAGACCTTCCTGTCTAGTGAGAGAACAGCTGCAGCCTAAATCTGTGCTATGGAACAGCTACAACCAGAGTTCATCCCACAAATCCAAGTGCCCCTGCATACATAATACCTGATCTACATCAACTTAGTGAAAACTCAGTGCAGAACAAGAAAAAAAACCAAAGCATTTTGGACAGACACCCACTTCCACTGCAGGGTAAGTCTGAGCACCAGTTGCCTTTCTAAACTTCAGAGGGGTCAGAGGTGGAGTGTCTGACACCCCTGAGTTCTGAGGGCTCAACTCCCAGGGACACAAAATGCACAGGATGTCTCAAGCCACCTGTTAAGCTTCTTGTGCAATTAGATGCTGGACAGTTGAAAGTGTACTTAGGTTGTCTGCCCTGATCAATGGTCAATGGGATAAGATTGACCCACTAAAGCCCCAGAGTCAAAGGCTTCATTTTTATCAGAAGAGATTACAGGGATACCATTTACAGCCTTGAGTTCAGGAGTACACATTCTCATTTCCACTGTACCTCCCCCTTTACAGCTATTCCTTCATTACCTAAAAGGAATTAAAGTTATTCTCTATCTTCTCCACGTGAGATTCTCTCCACTGGAAAGTGGCTGATCTTTGTACTTTTGATTACATAAATATGAAGAAAAATCAGTGTCATCTCCATTGCAAGAGTTCATTATGGACAACAATGCAACCTCTGATACTTGCACAATTTTGGAAGCAACAGTCTGCACTGCCTGGGAGAATGTCTTCTGCAGTTATGTACTTTGCATCAAGTTTGCCTAAGCTTTTGGCGTGATCATGACATCTTTTTTCTCATCATTAGTAAGGCAACACTGACTGTTTACAAGCAGGAAAAGTGGAGTACAGCCACCTACACTAATTAGTTACTTAACCATCAGTAACTCACTCTTTCCACCTGCTTACACAGTGCAGCTCTTGCCTGGTGTCGTCCTGCAGACGTGAGCCCACTTTGCCAGTTCTTACTCCTTGGAAACTTTGTATTGCATATTCCTCCTTGATGCAGCTGAAGTCTTGTGTTCCACAGGGTTTAGGAACATCAAACTTTGAGCATCCAGAGGGAAGTTAAAGCACAGAAGCTCAGCAGTGATTGCTGAGCAGAGCCATGCAAAATACAAAGCAAAATGCTCAGTAACCTGCATTAAGCCCAGGATATGCTTCAGTGAGGCTTTGCTTTTAGAGTACCTCTTCAGAGAGTCAGAGCCAAACAGTTCAAGCACTCTTAGCTGAGAAACACCCTGCTAGAGGGTGGGAAAGGACAAGGCCTCAGTAACTTTCAGGAAGCAGAGTGCTGTGGTTTCTGAGCCTTGCTGATGAAACCAATTGAATTCAAGCTTTCAGTATGTTTAAATAGAAAGACCATTTTTTTTTACATAAGGAATTTTACTGTCCTGGATATTACTGTCTCTCCATCAGGAGGGCAACAACATCATGACACTACTTAGTACTAAAAGTTTTTTTCTCAGATAAATTGAAAAGCCAATATTTCATATAGTCTTTATATCAGATTTTCTCTTTGAAACTACCTACTCAGAAACATGCACAACTGGCCCTTTGAAGCTTTTAAGAATTTAAAATACACTCAGTATAGCAGGTTCTGTTACTGTTTATCCTATTGGATAATACAGGTTCACTCTTGCAAAAATGCAAGAAGTGCCTCAAAAAAAGTGCATTCATGCATCAAAACTATATTAATAGGAAGTTTTCTCTAGTGATAGGGCATGGTTTTAAGAGCAAGGACTTAAGCTTGACTTGAAAATTCACATAGAACTCCTAAGAAAATTAGAATATTATCACTAGGCACCTTAGCCACACAGAGAAAAGGTAGCACTTAAAGTTTCTAGATATTAATGTCCATTACTTCATATTATCACAGCACTTCAATTATGAAGAGCAAAGAACAAACACATATCTGAACTTAACTCAGCCCAAGGTCCACATTTAACAGATAGCACACTACCAGAGATTTCCTAGGAGGCTCCTGAAAAACTCATTATCTTGAACCCTGCATCTAATCACGGCACTTGCACATTGGATTTACTAAAGCCCATGTGAGTAACAACAAGCAAATCATGAGCAATAAAACAAATACAGTAAAACTTCATTACTTACACAGAAAATCTGGCAGAGCATGTATAGAGATGAGAACTAGTGATAAAGGCACCTACCATTTTGAATATAGGGTAGGAAATCAACCTCTTCTTAAATAAAAGGGAGCCTTAGTAGCACAGTACAAAACCAACACCACTTAGGTAACACTCATGTCAAAAACTACAGCCAGTTTCTTGTCCCCAGTTTAAATAAATCAGCAAGCAGAAAAGCACATTAGTAATCAATTTGGGCACTTTTGGGAGGGGAGCTTTAAGGGAGGAACTTGCATGGGGAAATGAGTGATTAAAAAAAATAAACCAAAAATAAAAACCCCCAACAATCCACCCACACAAGAGGAAGTAATTAAGGTTTTTTGTTCGTTAATGAAAACAGCTTGAAGTAGATCTAAATGAAAAGTAAACCAAAACATTTTGAAATTATAGTTTATTCTTTCTAAGCTGTTTTATTATTTATTTATTTAAGTTTATTTCTTTCTTTGCTATTATCTTTCCTATGTATAAAGCTTGTAGTCTCAACAATAGAAATTTTCTCTCTATAGCTGCATATATGTTATGGTGAGCAAAACTTTGTAGCCTGTAATACCAACAAAATGATTTGACTACAGCATCTCTCATATACTGCTGCAATGGACTTGCTGGTGGGCTGGATTTCTGCTGATGGTTTTGTTTTATTTGGTTTTGATGTTAGTTTTCTAGTTGCTGTTGTTGGGTTTTTTCTTTTCTTTTTGTTTTTTCCCCCAAAAAGCTACCTAGTTCTTTCTGTTCTGTTATAGACATACATAGCTGCAATTATTTGTACCAGGTAACAGTGAATCATGTTTCAAGCTTCAGTTTTGTTTTCTGCTGTGACATGGACTTTTTAAAATGATTTCACAGTTTTATTTCTTTGTTTATAAGTTTATAGCTGTTGCAGTTTCCCTTTTCCTCTTCAATCCTTGTCTAACATAACTGGAATTTTGCAGTAGGTTTGGAGGAATGGGAACACAGTAACTTCACCTCTCTTCTTAAGTGCCTTAATCTCAGATTTTAGAATTGTTTTCTCCACGTAGAAGTTTCTCATCTGACAGTTTTCCTATGCTGCATGATTTCAGAATAATCTGCTTAGCTAGACAAACTGTAAAGCTGAGATGGAATTAACACAGCATGTACTTGCATCCAAAATACAACCTGTACTGGACCTTGGCTTGCTAAAACACGTAGCCCCTACTAATTGCAATTATATTTTTATTGCTGCTGTAATCTTTATACTATTAAGGTAGAACTAGCTTACATGTAGTTGTGGCATTATTTAGCCATGTAGGTATCTTTTAGGGAAACTGAGGGTTGATTCACTGTTTTTCCTGCAAGCTGAGCATAAAAAAGAAATAGCTTTTTCTTCTGAAATGAAACTTCTCTGCCTTTGGCTTTTCCTTCCCAGACTTCTTCCTGTGGCATTTCAGAGAAGCTATGAGCTTCAGCTTTATTAGTGCCTGTCAGGGGGCATTTGTGAGGCTTATAGAGAGGAGACAAGGCCAGGCTCCCAGCCCAGCCAGGCCCATTAGCACCCATTCTGTGTGCCTCTCTTAGCATTTCCCCCCTTCAGATATCTGGCCTCGGGCTGTTATTTTTCTAGGAGCAAGAGAAGAAGTTGCCCTGTCACTGGTCAGCTGTTGGATAGCAGTCTGTGTATCTCAGGTGCATTCACTTTGCTGCAGGGTGGGAGAGCATGCCCACAGCACGGTCCTGCCTGGCCTGCCAGGAGCCCAGGATGTGACCCAGAGCTCTGTAAAGCTACACTCCATTGCCTGGGCTCACTGGGTGTCACAGCTCCAACACAAATTGGATTAAAGGATGCACATAGGAAAGCTTCTCCTTAATGATCATTTCTGTTCAATGCTCATAAATTAGAATACAGATGACACTCTTCACCAGTTACACATAACAAGTGACATGCAAATATTGAGGCTTTTAATTTTTCATAAATGATTTGAATAAACTCCAGATTTTTGAAAGGCACAGATCTTTTTTTGCAAGTAATTTTCTGTCAAAATCAAAGCAGAGTTATGAATCTCAACCTTTGCTTCTCTTTGTGCATGTATATAAAATTTACACCTACACCCATCATACCCATTAGTGACTTAAGATGAGCAGTAGGGAGCTTATGCATATGGGCAGTTCATGTTGTTTCCTTTCTGTTGTCACTGTCAAAAAAGTTTTGCAAAGAGGATGAATCAGGTGAGCTTTTGTAACAAACCTTAAGGTCATAGCACAACATGAGCTTTTGTTATCCAAAGATGCCAAAATAACCTTTCTATATATAGGAAATAGCAGAGAATGTAAATAAGTGAAAGGAAAGCATAAACTCCACTTAGTTAGCATTTATTCTGTTGTCCCTTCAAAACTTAGATTTAAATTTGTGAGTCTGTGGGAGGTGTGAGCTCACTTCATTTGAATGATTTTAAATTCCAGTTTGTTTTCGTAATGCTGTAAACACAATAATTCTTTATTGCTCTGTTCTGCTTTTCAAGGGCCATGTCCAGCTTTGTAAAGCAGAATAACTGCACTGGAACATAAATTATCTTCTCAGAACACAAGTGAGTTCCTCAGGAAAGGAGGTAGGGATAGGAGATGGGCTTAGGACTTGCAAGAGCAGCATAATTTTTTCCAGTTCTCTTGCTTGCAGCTTGATTTCAGGTTGATCTTTGTCTCCACCACCCTCTCTGTACACAAGCAAGAGCTTGGAGAAGGCTCCATCTCTATAGCTAGAACAAGCAGTTGCCATTGGCATTGCCTAGTACCAAGGCAATGGCAACAGTCTGGTGTGCCCTACCCTATGATATGGGCTTTTAAACCATTACAAAAGGCATTATAGCCACATCTTCTATCTTCCTAGTTAGGGATTAAGCTAGATTCCGTTGTATAAAATGTTGCCAATAAGCTTGTGCATGTAAATGACCTAGCATATTGCAGCCTTTTACTGCTTGTGATGCTGTGAAAACAAATATTCTTATATTTTTGGAACCTGGTTTAAACATTAGTGTGAGTGGGAGCCTGGCACTGCTACTTAGTATACTTTATCTTTAAACAGGCATAACTAACAAATTGATAAGAAAATGGCTTCAACCTGGACTGTAGACAGGTTTCTACTTGCAGCTAGCCTATAGCAACAGGGAGTGTTCAGGTGGCTGCTCTCATTCAAGCTGTGATTTCCCTGTGTGCCCCCCCTGAGCCCAGACTTGCTTCTTTAATAACATCCAGCTGTTGCCTTTAACAGCACACAGGGTGATAAGAAGGGTGCATTGGATCCAGGTATTGCAACAAATTGGGGTTATTATCCCACTTGCAGTATTTCTCTGCAGGAACAGGAAGCCCAATACTTGGGAAACACATGCTCTGACTAGGAGGGATTTTCTTACCTTCCTTCAGTGCTGGAGGAGGGTGGAGGGGCTGGTACAGTTTGCTTCCTTTGCTGCTTTACAACTCCCAAGGGGTGTTCTAGGGTTGGTTCTTCCCCAGCTCCAGTGGTGCTTCCCCAGCTCCCGTGGCAGGACTAAGCCCCGAATCATCAGAGTGTGGCTTTAATAAACAGGCGACACTGCACCCAGGTAACCTTTGAACCTGCCTTGCAACAGGTCCAAAGGTAAAAAAAAAAATTATTCCTGATCAAATATAAAGAGCGAGCAATTTTGGCTGGTTAAAAATGTTAAACATACAAGTCTTGCACAAGAGCGTTAGAAGAGAGCAGTGCATTGTGAAAACTAAACCCAGCCCTGTGAAAGCTGCAGCCCTGGGTTTTTCATAGAGCTCTCATTTACTCCAGGTGTGCAGAGGCACTGAATAAGTCTTGCTTCACTGAGAAAAGGAGCCTCTTAGATTGCACTTTGAGCAAGCAAACATATTCCAGTATTTTTCACCAGATACTTTGTGTAGACTCCTGTCCTTAACATGTCCAGCCTTTGAGGCACGGGTTTCCCTTGCAGCTCCAGGGGTCTGTGAAGTAGGCACTCCTTTAGGGTCAGGGCTCCCAGCCCCTTTGGGATGTACAGGGTGCTGGAAATCTCACCATTGTGCACCTTCCCTTTTGACACTGTGCAAAGGTTAGTGCACTTGCTCAACTGCCAAGTAGACCAAGCCTGTTTTGTGAGAGATTTTTCATGTTGATTTAAACAACTGTGGTTTTGGTTTGGGTTTTTTTGCCTTCCTCTATATCTGAAATGGGAATAAGAGAGCACCTATGCTTAATGCTGCGTGAGAAAGACAAGTGCTTGTTGTAAGGTGAGGTATGAAGGCTGGGCTAGCAGCTGGAGCTTCCTAGCTTTGCTTCCAAAGGCTGTGGATATGATCTGTGGAAGACATTTTCTGCACATGATCCAAGAGATAGGGCTAAATAGCAAAGTCCTTTCAGCACTCACTTATTAGAGAGCATCCAAAGGAGGGTAACAAAGATGGTGAAGGGCCTTGAGGGGAAGCCATATGAGGAGCTGCCGAGGGCTCTTGGTTTGTTCAGCCTGGAGGAGACAGGGGAACAGCTTCCTTGTGACTGGGAGAGGACAGGCAGGCAGTTCTTCTGTTTGGTGACCAGTGACAGGACCCAAGGGAATGGAAGCT